ACAGCGGCAAGTCAAGAAAGGTTGAAGAAGCGGATAAAGAGTTGATTCGTAGGAAAATTTATGATTTGTACAGTAAACAAATAATACCTACAATAGATTCTCTAAAAAAGGTACTTATAGAAGACGAAACTGATATATTATGTAGCAGAACAAGCCTTTGGAGAATTGTGAAAGCAATGGGTTTCAAATATCAAACCATTAATAAGAGGCAAGTGCTAATGGAATCCCAGCGATTACAAGCATGGCGTCGAGAATATTTAAGTTCCATAAAACAATATAGGGCAGAAAATCGTCCGATAATATATCTTGACGAAACATGGTTTGATACCCATGACACTCCCAAAAGAGGATGGAGCGACTCAACCTCCAAATGTCAAACCAAAGCACCCTCAAATAAAGGCCAGAGGATTACAATTTTGCATGCCGGATCAGAAAATGGTTTTGTTCCAAACTCTTTGCTGCTATCCGCAAAAAAAATAGCCAATTCATCATTAGATTATCATCAAGATACCGATGCAAAATTATTTGAAGAATGGTTTCAGAATCGCCTTCTTCCGAACATACCAGAAAACAGTATAATTGTGATGGACAACGCTAGTTACCACAGCCGTCAAAAAAATAAAGTGCCCAATGCAAGTAATACAAAAGTAGAACTTCAAAAATATATGATGGAAAATGATATGTATTTCGAAGAAAATTATACAAAGAAAGATCTTTTAAACGTTTTGAAATCATATAATGTTAAAAAAGAATATATTTGTGACGATCTTGCTAGCGCTTGTGGTCATACAGTTTTGCGTCTTCCTCCATATTATTGTATTTTCAATCCAATAGAACATATCTGGCATGAATTGAAGGCAATGGTTAGGAGAGGAAACACCTCTTCTACACTTAGTACTGCTGTAATAGATTTAATTAGAAAATGTGTAGATAATATTCCAGTTTAAAGCTGGAAAAATTCTGTCAATCACGTTATAAAAGTTGAAGAAACCTATAATTCAATAGGTATTAATGTTAAGCCATTAATAATTAGTTTAGGCATAGATGAAGATGACAGTGACAGTGAAACGGAACTAAATATAGATTAGGTTTGGTTGAATTGTGTATTGTATTATATTGTATTAGATATTAAGTTTTGGTAATTATTAAGATAGTATAAGATTATAACATAAATAAATAATATTATGAAACGCCTTTTTCGTTTTCATTATAATGGGCACAAAATCCGTACCTGTAAACCTTTGAGTGGGTATTAAGGAACCCGGTACCTACATAAAAGAACCTGGTACCTACACAATAGAGGCTAATAGCTATCTAATTTATGGTAGGGTTTTATAGCCGTGAAGTCAACGAAATATTTTGGAATGGACTTTAAGCAATCCGAAAAAAGGCAGAAAGTCCCAGAGGGGAAAAGGCCTCTTGGAAGACCAAGACTGAGATGGCGGGACAACATTGCTGCGAATCTGAGAAAATGGGCATCGAAATTGGCATAGACCGTATGACCGATCGTGTCGGATGGAGGCAAGTCGTCGCGTCAGCCAAAGCCCAACAGGGGCTGTAACGCTACGGAGTAAGTAGGTAAGTAAGTAGCTTTTGGCCATCAAATCAAAAAGGCGTAGGTGATAATGGGTCTGATTAGGTATTAGAGAGATTAAACAAGTATGGCTTACGAGAAGTTCTGCGTCGACGTAAACGTAGATCGTAGATTTATGTACGTACGGGACGCGTAAACTTTACTACAGTTTGAACACGAAAATACGTGAGAAGAAACGTATCGCTGCGGCTGCGCAGAGTGTTTGTTTTAAATTTTGTCTGTGGGGTTATGATTATAGATTAATGTTTTATTTTGTCTTCATTTATTTATGTTTCCTTTTCCCGTACAACCTGGCTCCCGATTGTCGAGTTCGAGTTCGGACAAATTCGGCCCGATACGGTTTACGTTTAGTCCGTACGCAAAGATACGTTAGCTGTCGGCCATATGCGTACGTGATGGCGAATTTGATGTTTTTGCGCATGCGTACGTACAAAAATTACGTTTACTTATTTATACGCAAAAGACATGTTCAATCTCTCTAATATCTATCTGTTTGGTATATCCATATACCATTTTTGGTTTCAGCATCTCGTGAGTTTGCAGCGTGTCTTAACAGCCGATGGGACTAGTGTTTTTTTTAAATTATTACCGCCAGGTTCATCTATCTTCTATGACTGCGAATTCGGCTCATATGAGTGGGGAAAAACTACTTTCAGATTTTACAAGCGATGAATTTTTTAGAATACCGTTGGATTATTTGTTGAAAAATGTGAAGACATTTCAACTTTTGGATGCATGGGGAAAGTTACCCAATGAGTTACAAAAACAGTTTTCTTCTCCAGAATAAATTACCGTGCTTTGTGCTTTATTCATTACAATAGAGCAGACTGGAGAACTGATATATATATAGATGGTCCACCAGATTCACAAGAACAACTCAATGAAAATCGTATGAAGTCGAAGGAGGAAGAAAAAGGTGGAGCGGGATATTAGGAAGGGGTAGGCGGTGGGGTTGAGAGTTTGGGGAAGAGTGATTCCCCAGGTGGAATTACGCCTTACCTTCCACTCTACTGCGGGCATCCTTTAACTGTGGTTATTATTGTAATAGTTGCACGTTTCATTTCCGTCGATACTGCACGATGTTTCAGATGTCCATCCTAAAATGGATGCTTCTATCTAACCATTCTTCAAGAGCTTTTTGGCTTTTTTGATGAATCGGTATGAGGTGTAGTAGAAGGCACCCTCTGTGTCGATAAAAGCTTCTAGAGCGATTTATTTTGCGCCCCTATTGTCCTTTCTATTCCCTACTAGACAAGTGCGCTTGTTTGTGGATTCGCCTGCTGCTTGGTAAGCGAATTGTCTTTGATGAAGCAGTCTCCTGACTAGAATTTCACTGCTGATATGTATATTGGTCTATTGCATTCTTAATAGATTTGAGGTAAAATGATGTTATGCTGATTGGTCAGTGAGATTTTAGTTCACCTTTTGGTCGACGCCTCTGGTATGCATATTACGCCAGCCTCTCTCCAGGTTCTCCTTCCTATTTTCCTATTTCTTTCCAGTTTCCAGTAGTTTCTGCCTTGTTGAACAACTTTCTGATTCAAGGCGACTCAATTCCCGGAAAGAACTTTTCTGCTGTATAACAGGATAGCTATTTTGAAGGAGTTTTTGATTGCGTTGATTGAACTTTTGGGGTTACTTCTGCGTCAATGGTAGCTGAGAATTCTTCCAAGCTTATGCCAAAACTTTCCTTGTGAGAGTCCCAATCCGTGACTTTTGGAATTATGCCTGTTGTATAAAAAACTCTTGAGGCATTTTGGCTTATTTTAGTAAAAAGTATATTAATGTGCACAGCAATCTACAGAATTTGATCGTGTCTATTTTTTATTACCGATATTTCGTTTATCATATGCGCCCACGTTACTTCACACTTGCTAGGTAGCTGCATTTTTGTGTTGCCTTATCCGCAACGCGATCCGTAAAAATATCGTGTCGTATCGGACGGTTCGACTATACTACAGCGAAATTGCCCTTATTTTCAATTATTTGAACAGACTTTTTCAAGGCGATAGAGTCAACACCACAGAATTTAATCCTCTTCGTTTGGACCCAGAGAACCAACAGAATCCCTTTTCAAAGGTAAGTGATCTCTGCGTACCGCGTTTCAAAATTTTCTCTTTTTTTAAATCATTCAGTCCAAAGTCTAAAGTTGTTTGATTAATTACCAAGCCTTTAAGGCGAACCTAATTATTGCCTGATGGTCCAACATGTTCTAAACAAGTATAAAAGGTAGTTAGGAATCTGGAATGCCATGACAAGACACTGGGACTATGAAATAAAAGTTAACCATCGAGCAAGTAAGTATCATCAGATGAGAACAGATTACTGTGCACTTGTTGGTCTTGACATATATTTATTTGGTAATAAAAACGAAGGCTCAAAGTAACAAACGTAATTTTATTTTTAAAAAATGGTTATACATACAACCTATATACAACGCACTTTCGAGGTGCAAGGATAAGTGAATAAACAAAAAAAAAAATAACTCTAAGGCCCGGTTCATTCATCCTTAGATAAACTTCCTGGAACGTATCGGCAAGACAAATTTACCGTTCTATAATTCTATTGGTCAGCGGATAACTGGCCGATTATTGGGATTACAGATTGCGTTATTATCCCTTAGATTGTACACCTGACAATTTATCAGAAAGTGAATAAACCGGCCCTAAAAAAAAATAAAAAAATGACACCACAAACAAAGGTCTAACGTAATTTTATGTTCAAATAGGTAAATAATATAATAATAATAATAATAATAATAATATAATATATAATATAATACAGGGTGTCCCAGCTAAAAGTGACCATTTCAAATGCTTCTAACTTTTGAACCAGGTGTGCTAGCTACCTGCGGTTTGCGCCATTCGACTTCTCTGGGCCTAAAGTTTTCTTTAGTTAGTTGCAAATTTTTCTGATACTTATACAGGGCCAGTAAAAAAAATGCTGTTTTTCAATATTGAGATTCTCCACTATTTTCAATGGAACACCCTGTATATCACAACGTGAAAAAAAGAGTTATCCATGTTCAAAGTATTCATGTACCAATAAACATAATCCTTTGGTAAACAGAGATGGATGACTGATATGGATTTATGCGTAGAGAGACGGCTATGAGATCTGAGTCACTTGTGTCAGATGTCATAGCTCTCACCAAAAAACTGAGGTAACAGTAACTTTGTGAATCATAACCTATTAATTCTATATTCACACTATCAGTTCATTCAAAATCTCACGAATTAGGAACCTTTTACTTATGCCATGCCCCACACTAATTAGAAAACTTATTCTATAAATGCAAATACGTAAACTGACTTTCATGCCATCCGGTACTTTAGGATCCATTGCTCAGAAAAATGGTAAATTGATTGCGTATTCGTATATACAAATTTGTGTGATCTACGAGCTTCTACTCCATTTTGATGGAATAAATTGGTTTCCTAAACGTTAAATAATGCTTGATCACTTTTGGAATAGGCATATTATCAATAAAAAAATAATACTGTTTAGGTTCAAATAACTTGAATTTCTCTACTAAACCATCGCGCGCCGTGTTTCTTGCAAGTTCCAATAATGAAGGAACTGGATGAGCAGTAAATTCAGTTGGTATCCTTGGGCAACCAATTCTCAAGTGGGGTAGAATTTCTTTGTTCAGAATTCTAACATATTGAGCATGAAGTTCCTGATGGTGGTGATAAGACATAAAAATTAATTGTTTAAAACATTCTACACGCATTTCAGGGTGGCATAAAAAATTATCAAGTCTGCTACTGTCCAACTCATGAAATGATAGAAATGGAACAGCAATGTCCATGTGAAGGCATATATAAAAAAGCTCATTATATCCAAATAAATTATAGAGCGGTCCTATGACTTTATGTGTTAAAATATAGCCATGAGATAAATAAAGAATTACTAGTTCATTAATAATGTTAAACCAATTATCTTTGTCGCTACTATCAATTATTTTTCTGCAAAGAGAATCTAATTCGAAACCTTTAAAAAAGGGTTCTAAATTATCACTATCTATTATTACACGTAGATATTGATAAAGGTCGCTTTTATTTAAATACGTTACAAGCATGTGTAAGTAACTTGTGTAACTAAATTGTATTTCTAGATATTCAATTTTTTTCCAAATAATTCTAAATTTATCTACATTAGGAAATCGTAAACACACCTGAATGACATTTGAGTTTACATCAGCTCCCCTATTGATAATTGTTTCAACATATGGACAAGTGTGTTCAAAAGCCAAATTCAAAACCGAAATTCCTTCTTTAGTAGTTTTATTGAAATCATCTACATAATCCAATAGTATTTCTTGTATTTCTAATCTGTCTAGCAAAATGGAGTTCATAAAAGGGGTGATTCCACAACCACATTCAATATTTGCATCAGCATTAAAATAAAGCAACATGCAAACGATTTCAATGCAAGATGAACATACTGCATAATAAAGTGGCGTTTCATCATTATAATCTTGTGCATTCAAATTAGCACCATTTTGAATTAAGACGCGTGCTATTTCCGGATTATTGACTAATACTGATAAATGTAGGGGAGTTATTTCGCAATGGTTTGGTTGATTAACGTTTCCATTAGCTTCAATAAGTTTTTCTAATAGATGCAAATCCTCTCGTTTAACAGCATGAAATAGTGGAGTTTCTCCAGAAAAGTTTCTACTGTTTACAACAGTTTCCTCAAGGCTTAGTAGGTAGTCGACGATCTCAGGCCTGAAAATAAATAAATTGTGTATAGGTATGTGATTGCCAACCTGCAATGAAGTCAGTTATTTCAACATTGCATAGGTATTTGATTGTAGAGATTGAAGTTTACCGGTAATTTTCATTTGTTCTTTCTCAGTGGTAATTTACCGGTAATTTTTCGGTTATTTTGGTAATTTTGGAAATATATCACGAAACAAATAATTATGACTTAATACTATACCTATACGTTCAAGAATTATAGATTTTCAGGATTTTTCACCTAAACAACCATTTATTATAATATTGTTTGTTGTAAAACCTAATCTCATAGAAATATTACAATATTTAAACAAATAATAATACCTAATTTCTGGAAGGAAAAATGAGCAAAAAAAATCAATCAAAAATAAAACAGAAATAAATTCTCCTAATCTGGTGCTGAACTAAATAGTAAAGTAAATATCTATTTTTAAAGGGCAAAAAGAAAACAAATAAATAAAATGAGCTGAATAAGTATAGCATAAGAGATAACTCTGTCCAGAAAATTAATTACTTAAAGCGCACAGGGTTGGCAAAAGCCCGGGTTTTTAAAAATTTCTATTGGTTTTTTGGATTTTTGCGAGAGTTGTGCTTTTGTAGGGTTTTTGTGTTTTAAGATCTTTAAAGATACTTGTCGAAAAACATTACACCTAACTTCTGCGGAAAATGTCTTTTCCACCCTTGATAGCTTGCCAACTGCCGTCGCGTGGGAAAAAGCACTACTTTCCGCACCTGTTAGGTAAATAACTATTTAAAGAACTGGAGTAAAACACACAGTCTATCTTCACTCTTTATTTTACAAAAATAATCAGTTGGAAGGGGGGTTGTACATGTTTCGGATCTATCATAGATCCATCATCAGCATAAGTTCTACAAGTTACAAAAATATGGGAGTTATGGGGAGGGCCTGGGGTGTATACATCAAAAACTTACCAAATGGCATAGGGAAAATATGGTCATATACGACATGCCTAAGTATAATAATTATACATAAAAATATAAGTGTTCATGCTGTTATCAGCATAAAGTTGGTGGCTAAAGCCGCATCCAACACAGAACATATTTACAAAACTGGAATAGAGGAAGCTTGTGAGTACGATTTCAAAAATTACGTCAAAGTTTCAACTTACCAAAGGTGAAGATTGAAAAAATTATTTTATTAACATTAGAAAAATAGGACTGCCACACAAACACAGAATATGCCTATAGGAGGCGGAATTCTGGACGCTCATCTGTACTTCTGGATGTTAGTGGGTGTTAGCTTTTAGTTGTTAATCAAATTTCAAAAATTTTCTTATTGATTAACAACTAAAAGCTAACACCCACTAACATCCAGAAGTACAGATGAGCGTCCAGAATTCCGCCTCCTATAGGCATATTCTGTGTTTGTGTGGCAGTCCTATTTTTCTAATTTTAATAAAATAATTTTTTCAATCTTCACCTTTGGTAAGTTGAAACTTTGACGTAATTTTTGAAATCGTACTCACAAGCTTCCTCTATTCCAGTTTTGTAAATATGTTCTGTGTTGGATGCGGCTTTAGCCACTAACTTTATGCTGATAACAGCATGAACACTTATATTTTTATGTATAATTATTATACTTAGGCATGTCGTATATGACCATATTTTCCCTATGCCATTTGGTAAGTTTTTGATGTATACACCCCAGGCCCTCCCCATAACTCCCATATTTTTGTAACTTGTAGAACTTATATATGCTGATGATGGATCTATGATAGATCCGAAACATGTACAACCCCCCTTCCAACTGATTATTATTATAAAATAAAGAGTGAAGATAGACTGTGTGTTTTACTCCAGTTCTTTCTTTAACTATTCTCTTCACTGTGAGACATGGACTACTATTTCAAAAATAACTATTTGTTTATGCCAACCCTGAAACAGGCGCGGATCCAGACCCAAATTAACGGGGGGCCATACAAAATATTGGAACGTACATGGTGTCTGGTTATAATTTGACACCCCACCTTTAGAGTGCGTTCCAAATCAGTCTGGGCGTCACACCGAGTGCACACCAGCCGTTCGAAAATGAATTGGTATAAACTCCGGATGACTTTTACGCTAGTTCGAAAATATCCGGGGTGCTACCCAGTGTGCACTCTTTCTTAACCAATTCTGCCGCTGGGTAAATTTTACTCCTGTCATTCTTGTCAGTTTTTCATTATTTAAATCTACTACTTTCATATTTAGTCAGATTTATTTGTTCCATTTTTCGTTTCTCGGAAGTTGTTGTTGATAATAGGCACAATCAGATAAATGGAATGCACAGAACACTGGGCCTAAATGTTATGTATACAGGGTAATTGATGGTCGATGGTAGGTTAGACGTTTATGGAAAACGGTATGTTGGATATTTTTGAAAATTTGCATGCCCAAGTAATTGCTCCTGATCTATCATTCTAAAATAATTTCAATGATGCGACGTTGCCGCTTATACCAAAAAGTAATATGAACTTTGAAATTTTGAATGAGCCGCCCTGTATATTATTGCATTTTTCGCTCCGCTATTACTTTTTGATCATTTTTGTATAATACTGTCCTATACCTATCTCTAGTGATTTTCGAGTTATTAATTAATTTCTTTATTTTTTCTTCAAAACATAGCTCTAGTTAAATTTGTATTACTACGTCCCTGAGATTCTTAGAACGTTTAATTTTTGGGTATAACTTAGGGAGGTCCTGCATATTACTTTTGAGCAAGAAAATTTGTTCTACATTATACAGGGTTGGTCAAAATTAGTAATTGTGCTGCCAGGTACAAAAAAGATGAAAAGTGCACTTTTTTAAATAGAACACCCTGTATATTATAAAAGGCAATTAAAATCCCTTACAAATGATGTATCATGTTCCTATACCTAAATAGTAAGGTTTCGGAAATACAGGCAAGTTTCTCTTAGAATTGGATTATTTAAAAATTATATGTCTTATTAAATAGCAGTAACAAGTATGTTAAGTGAATTTTTTTTCACGAATGTGACGTGCGACAATCACATGAGTAAAAAAAGGTACTGTACACACCTATTGCATGCAACATTTTTTCTACTATCAATAAAATATGTGAAAAAAATAAATTTAGAAAAATACTTCACGCACTAGTGCGTGAAATAATTTACCAGAAAAATACTAAATTGACAGTGTCGATATCTGTCATTGACATTACTTTACGCACTAGTGTGTGAAGTGAAATTTAACGTTTTCGCAATAGTGCATAAAGTGAGTACTTTACCTAAGCTAGTGGAAAAAATACTGTCACAACACAACCTATTTTGTTGCCACTGGGGGTTTGGGATCTTTTTTTCCTTGACTGCATGTGGATTTTGATTAGCCCAAAAATGTTGATTTCTTCTATTAAAAATACCTTCTCTAGAAAATTTAGCTTCATCGGTTCATATTAATTTTTTTTTAGAAAGTTTAGATACTCATAAGTGTGTGTCAGAAGTGTCTCTTAATATCGAATTTGACGTTGGTAATCATCCGCTTTCAGCTGTTGAACTTTTGTGAATTTAAAGGGATGCATATTATGATCGTTAAAAATTTTCTGCACATAATAATAGCTCAGGCCCAAATCACTGCACTTCGGATGGAAGCTTGGGGATATGCGTGAAAGTAGGCTGAAACATTCACGATGTTTCTTCATCAGACGTTACAGGCTTGGGTAAGCTTGGTTCATTGTTAAGTTTTGAACCGAATTGTATAAAGTTATTTTTTGTGCAACCATCCGCAAAATTCAATTTTGCGGCCGCCACACCTGACGTGCAAAATGTGTCAAATCCTTGTCAAATTCATACAGTTTTTCTGTAACTTTTATTTTGTATTTAATTTCTATAGTTGCACAAAAAATAGTGTGTATATCATGACCGCGAAACTTTTTAGCGTCCTTGGGATTATCTTGCCTACGCCGGCGCCGCAAGCGGCCTTGCCGATAAATTTTCTCTACGTACGGCCCCGCAACCTAAGCTGGCGAGAGCTCGCGCAGGTAGGCGTAGCCGTGGGTCCCTTTTTTTGGCCCAGGCAAAGCTAAAATACAAACAATTTTCATTATCAGGGGCGTCGCTTATTGGTCTGAGGATTTTGAATAAATTTATAGGGTATTAGACAAATTTTATTTTAATTTTTTCCACCATTTTATTACCTATCTATTATTTCTACAAACTGGTTAAACTCATTATTACAAAGTATAAAATATTATTATTATTAATATACAGGTATAGATAAAACATTCTTACTTTCTATGTACAATAGTCATTGAAAATCTTCTCCTGAAAAACTATCATCATCGCTAGTACTATCACCTAAAGCAATTATAATTGGTTCTATATGATTATCCAGTATTATTTCCCGATCAAGATATTTATCTTCAATAGATTTCACGTGGTTACACCTTTTTATCCACTCGTCTTGGGTAACGTTAGCAAATTCTTCCTGTGCCATTTCTCTTGCAGTGTCTAATTTAAATGTTACATTTTTCTGAGCCACATTGTTCTTCACTGTTGCCCAAACGAGCTCAATGGGATTGAGATCAGGATGGTAGGGCGGTAACCTCAACACAGTATGCCCATGTTGTTGCAGCAAAACATCGTATTTATACTGCTTATACTTATCCTTGCTTCTTTTTATTATTTCATATAATTGAGGATGAAACTCGATGTTTTTTGCATTCAACCAGTCTATCATATCTGCTTTCTTCGAGTTAGATGTAGGTGCTGGGTTGACTTGAACACTGTGATACGGTGCGTTATCAACAACGACAACAGAATGAGGACGCAAATTTGGTATAAGTTTATCCCTTAACCATTTCCCATAGTTTTCAGAGTTCATCTCATGGTGATAGTCACCTGTTTTACTGACTGATTTGAAAATTAAGAGGCAGTTAGGTATAAAACCCATTTCTCCGCCGGCGTGAACTATGATTAAACGATTTCCTTTTAAATATTTTGGAATAAACCATTAGTACTCTCGTCGCTCCA